AAGATCTTAACTCTGTAAGAACAACAGTAGAAATGAGAAGGGAATCAATTTCAGAAACAAAATTAACTCAAGTTGGTTTTGAGAAAACAATGATACCTAAACAATGTAACTGAAAATGTAAGTATTTTGCTTCATGTCTCAGTTACAAAAGGCTGGGAAACATTTTTCAATGAAATTTAGAAATTCATTTTGGTTGACAAGTCTACTGTCCTGCATGCACACACATTTATGTACACATACAAATCCACACATACTTACATACAAATCCACACATACTTACAGACATGTAGTAAGAACATTTGAAATAAATATCTAGGGAATAAAATTAAAAATCAAGATAACTCGAGACTTGACTATGGAAACAAGGCAATTTATTGTTTAGTTTTGCTAATTTTGTCTGATTTTAGTTATTAAAGTTACACATAAACAATTTTAAAATAGAACGTTTTTTCTTGTCGTACTCCCTTAAAGCAGTTTATTCTATTAACTGGCCTTAATAAAAATAATAATTTTCTGTGTATTAACAAATGGTCAGCTTTATCTTAATTGCCTTTAATTACAAAGTTTCCATTTTACCCAGTTAAGAAAAATACTTAAACTTATTCAGTCTTTAGAAAATTTTGTAAATGTAAAAAGAGAGAGGAAGATGAACATTTTTAATTTCTTCATATGTGCATTAAAAGATTAGGCAGCAAGTCACAACTTTCTTGTCTTGTACCATCTTCTACTCTTAGCCACTTCTGAAGAAATAGTTTGAAGAAATAAATTCTCTGTATCCCAGGGGACTTCCTAGAATTCTGTAAGTTAATGATCAGAACAAGAATCTTGAAAAGCTTACCAATACACTTTCAAGAAAGAATGCTCACAGTTAACACACAGATTTAAGAGGTAAAATCAGTTTCATCATAATGATTTAAAACTCTGGATCTGCCTATCTGTAAAGTGAAGAAGTACGAAACTATCAAGTTTCTTACTGGCAATGTATTCATAGTACATACTGAGTACCCAGTACTTGCAAAGCACTATGCTACAAAGTCTTGCACATAAATTGTACCTGCCCTTGAAAGCAAAACCAACTAGTCCTTTTTATTTAGCTTCTGATTCTTCGCCGAACTTGAGATAGTAAATAACAAACCAGCTGTTGGACTTACTCTCCATTTCCACTTCCACAGGTACTGTCTAAACCTGTGCTGCCCAATATCATAGGCACTAGGCAGGTATGACAACTGATCACTCAAAAGGTGGCTAGTCCAAGTGGAGATGCGGTGAACATGTAAAACACACACTGGATATTGGAGCCAATGTGAAAAACAGAATGTAAAATACTGCAATAATTTTTAATATATTGGATTACATATTAAAATATTTTAGAGCTTACTGAGTTAAATATTAAAATTAATTTTACCTGCTTCTTTTACTCATTAAAACTTGGTTATAGTAGGGGATGATGAAGAGGGTATGGGGGGATAAATGATGATGGAAGGAGACTTGGGGTGGTGAACTCACAAGAGAGAAAGAGATGATGTGTATTATACAGAATTGTACATCTGAAACCTATCTAATTTTACTAACCAATGTCACCCCAATAAATTCAACAAAAAACAAATTAAAAAAAAATTTGTAGAAAATTAAAATTATACCTGTGGTTCACATTATGTTTCTATTGGCCTAAACTCTAAGGACGTCATCCAGAGATTACCAGGCCTTCTCTTCATGGCCCTGATTACAACGAGTAATCAGCAATTATTCACATCGTTCTTTGATTCTCCTCATCTTAGTATTTGTGTCTGGCCAACCATCTACGTTCTTTATTACTTCAAACCATATCCTTCACTGTGAGGGTTAGGAGTAATTCTGGATTTTGGATAAGGAAGAGGATATGATTCTACTCAAAGTCTTTTTCATCCCCAATACTTTGAAACACACACTATGTCACACAGAGAGATAGTATAACATAAATTCCCTCACTAGTGAGTATGATATGGAAATGCCTCCAAAGTTCCCAAGCCAGTGAAGCTGGACTTACTTTTCTCAGGTTTATCTTTCCTCCTCACCACATGGCCTCCTTTCCTTAACAACAGGATGTTGCACTGGCTGGTGTGGCTCAGTGGATTGAGTGCTGGCCTGCAAATCGAAGGGTCGCTGGTTTCATTCCGTCTAGGGCAAATGCCTGGGTTGCAGACTAGGTCCCCAGTAGGGGGCGTGCAAGAGGCAACCACATATTGATGTTTCTCTCCCTTTCTCCCTCCCCTTCTCTAAGAATAAATAACATTTAAAAAAAATTAAAAAAGTATTTCCTATAAAAAAAAACCAGGATGATATTTGTGCAGCCTATCTGTAATTACTGTTCCTGAATTTCTGCTGTCTCTTGTTTTAATCACATCTGCCCATGCAGGAGCAACAAGAAAAGTAAAGTAGCCATTTAGCTTTATTACTAGTCACATGCTTTATTTAAGACAGAAAAATGGAAGTCTTTGATACCAAGAAGCAATTTTTAAAGGAATATAAAAGAAGCATTTTTAAAGGAATGTAAACTTCCTTTCAAAAAACCTGATTTAAGAGGCTAATTTATATTTAAAAACCACTTATGGAACAATTTGTAAAAGGGACTTGTAAAACTTTACTAGATCTTCATGATACAATTTAAAAGCTTCAAAGAACAGGAAAAATGAAACAAGGGTATTTTGAAGCTAGTATAAATATATATACATATATGTATAAAACAAGCTAAATGGTTTAAAATAGCTCATCAAAAATACAATCAAAACTTATTTTTGTTTTAGAAGTCATACTTGTAAATACATTTTTCTCTAGCTTTGTTTTCTTTATTAGTAGAAGGTAGCTTTGATTAGAACTTGATTTTCTGACAGAATATTTATATTGAAGTTTGGTATTTTAAACAAAATACTTTAAAGTAGAAGGCACTTCAGAATCAGAGTATTACACTCCTGTGTTACAGATGAGATTTAGGTGATACGCCCAAAGTCCATCCCTACTGAGTGACAGAAGCAACGTGTCTGTGGACCTCAAGTTCCGCTTCTCCCTTGTACTATGCTGCCCTAGGCCTTCTTTAACTTTCGTCTGGTTAAAGAAAAAAGGAAATACTCAAATTCAAACCTATACAACTAAAAAGTTATCAGAACTATTAATGCTTTTGTTATTCTATTTATTTGGAATGAAATATTTTGGTAATATGAATAGGAAATATGAAGATTGATGGGTGGAGATAAGTGGATACGGAAATTAAATCCTGTTAAAATGTTGGTAGGTATCAGAGGCTTATATAATTTCCTTTAAATTTCCAGCAGACTCCTTTTCGTTTAGCAAAGGCTGTTAAGAGGAATACGGTCTGGAATGGAGTGTGGGTCTGTTATTCTCTTCAACTTGATCAAAACTGAAAATATTTATTTGAAGGTACTGAATGTTCTAATAAACATATACCACTATGGAATGAAAGATTTTGGCTTAAATAACTAAGTTATTAACCCCAATTTAAACTGTATGTTGGGAAGTAATATAACTATGGATATCACACTAGGACATCATTATAGTGAAACTATTCCCAGTAAGCCTATACTTTGTTCAATAGGCAAACAAGATAACATCTCATGTATATATACAAATTACTCCTTTCTCAAAAGTTTCTAAGTTGTCTCCAACAGAAGCAATAGAAGGTTATACTACTTCTGTTTCAGTTTCTTCTTCTTAAAAGAGTAAACTTTATTTTGCATCTTCCAGGATTTTTTCCCCCTGTTCAAGTCTTTATTATTAACCTATTATGTGTCAGGCACTCTTCTGGGTTCTAGGAATATAAATATGAATTCCTACAGTATGCTTAAAATTTCAACTGAAATAAGTGGTGAAAGCAAACAGATCCTGGGGGTACTCTACTCTGATACACTAATTGTATCTAGTAAGCTGCTAGACAGGACATACCATACTGCACTCCGCTGGGAGATTTAGCTGGTGAGCTCAAGAACTGAGACATCTTTAGGAGTACTTTTTAAAAAATAAAAATAACTCTAATGCCCACCACAAGTTAAACTTTCACCAGTATTAAGGATTAGGCAACAGCCATCCAAACAGGATAGAGAATAGGTGAGAAGGTTTCCAACGACAGGTTTCATGAATTTGCTTTGTGTCATTCTTGGTTAGTCATCAAATCACGAGGTATTTTAGCATGGTATCATTTTTTGTCAATTATAACCATAAACAATCAACTTTTAGTTTAAAACAAAAACACAGAAAGGCAAGGGAATAAATTAAATATATGCAAAGTCTTGGATTTTGAAGATGGTAGTAGATGAGCAAAATCCGTAAGACTTGTAATAGAGGCACATAAATACATTTCTTCCTAATTCTTAAACTGGGCACTTATACTAGGGGTGGATAATAACAAGCAAAGACAATTATTCTCTTCCTTACTGAAGACAAGAGCATTACCCAGAGCTGAATCAAAAGATAAATGTTCTTTGGTTTGTGATAATTGCATAAGACAGCTTAAGCTTCATTTAGTCATTTAATGATAACGGAGTTCAGCTCTTTCTGTCAATAAAAAAATATGTATCTACAAGGAAAAGTCTCTTCCTATTAAAAATGCTTTTAAAAGATCCCTAATATGTTTATACACCCAAATAATTTGTTACTAATACTTCACAAGGAATATAATTTTATTACTGTAATCACAAAGTCATAATTTCTGTACAGGAATGTATAAGTGAACATTAATCAATCCACTGATAATTCACTTCATAAAGAGGGTGAACATACTACAGAACATATTGTAAAGAAAAAATATTGTAAAATTTTCTGATCTTGCAGTGCACTTTTTAGTGCAAGTATTTAAGACACAATAGTGTTCAATTCAGCAAAGTATTGCAGAATGTCATGCCACAGTCCACTTAATTCAAAGAGGGTCAGGACATGCAGCTTGTAATAAAATGTCAAGAGTGTGTATGTGTGTGTATATATATTTATATATATATAAAAACCACATGTACTTCATAAAATATATAGTGGTTTATTTAGATGGTTTTAAATGATTTCACTGTGGAATTAGCGTAACTGGAACAAACATCTGAGATCTTTCTAACAGGAGTAATCTTCTAAGCGATGGCTTTGGCTTCAGGTAGGAATGCCTCCCAGTATTTTATCAGCTGTAAATGATAACAAAAATAAAAGATATTCTCATTACCTTTTTGTCATTTATATGCATGTATGTCCTGTACAGCATTAAAAAAAAATCTATGCAAATAGCTATTAGTGATTAACATTTACTAAAGTCTGGTTAAAATCATTTTAATTCCCTTATCTGAAGTTTGTCAATATAATTCATGTATAAACAATTTAACTTTATTAATTACTTCTGGCTAATTTGTTTTTGATGTAAATAATATAATTTTAAAAATATCCCAAAACAGGATTTTTTGATTTATGCAAAGCTGTATATAGAAACAATACACAGTTTTATAAATAAGATGTTAGTATAAATAAGGTTACCTTAAATAATACAACTGCAATGAACTTTTCCAATATAAAGTAATAACATCTAAATCAGAGAGTATTCATATTGTATGTCACTGCTAGCCAAAAGAACAAAGGAGTAAGAAAAGACACTGGGGAAGAACGGGAGAAAGAGTCTGGAAAGAATTAGCTACCAGTCGTTGATGGACAGTCCAAAAAAAATAGACTGAAGTATAAACTAAAGTTTAAAATAATTCCTTTAAAAAAAAATTGATATGACTTATTTATTATCATATATTAAAAATCTGATCTTATGAATTAAGTACTTATGATTAAAAATATAATTTGAAGATATAATATCATCACTTAACTCAAAAATTATATAGGCAAGTTTCTAATCCACATGTCTTAAAACTAACTGAAGAAAGAAATCTTTTTATTCAAGACATTAAATAATTTGATTACTCAAATTTATATTAAAATACAAAAGAAAAAACTCTGTTATCTTGTTAAAGACTTTTACTTAATGTAACACAAACACCATTGTCTTGTCTAGTTGAGGGAAACAAATGCCACTACTGGTGGCATATCATCACCACAAACCCAACATAAAACAAAAATCAAAACAATTATTTTTTAAAACCTTAAAGATATTTTTAGTTTAAGTTTTGTCTTTTATGAAAGAGAAGAACTTCTTGTAAGAATTTATACACAGTATGATTGATAGGGAAATAAAACTCAGAAGACAGGGAAAGGGAAAACCTGTCCTATTTTTCATAGCCTAAAATTGGGAAAAGTATATCTCACCTAGTAGTTCGAAAGAGTAGAAGCAAAAAGGAAGTGAGCGTTTCCAATTATTTTAACTGCCATTTTCCCTTTGCTGTTACTGGTTTTCTCTATTCCACTACTTATTCCTCTTTAACTATAAAAGTTCCTTTCACTAATTATCTTCAAAATGAAAAAGCATTCTAAAAATAAAACCTGGAAGTTTATAAGTTATAAACAAATTAGCTTACCTGTTGTTGTGTTTGAACTAATGATTCTAAGTACTTGATAATAACAGTTTTAAAATCTTTCACTCGTTCTTTCTGTTCAAGTACAATACAAGAGAAAAGCTCCATTAGTACACAACTAAATTTGATTTTACCATAAAGTCACAGCAAATGTGATCATATTGATGAGAAAAGTATAAACCATACTTGCCTCAAATCTTCCCACTTCTTTTCGAATTGTTTTAGAGATCTGTTCAAAATCTCTTTCTCCTTGTTGTACTTTTGCCTCCCACTAATAAAATACAAGCAAAAACATACATTTTTTTTGGTCTGGAAAAAGTTTATAGAACTAGCTGTTATGACCACTCAATTTAACGTAAGCCTAAAAATCTTGAGAAAGCTCAATATTGGCAAAGCCCAACTTAGCATCATTCAAACTTGTATCGAACTTTCCAGCAATAGAGATGTGTATCAGCTTAATTTCCATTAATATTTCACTGTCAGGTTTACTTAAGATTAGAATATTCTAGTACTTACTTAACTACAATCTCCATTGCTGAATTAACCACAGGATGAGCAGGGGTGTCCAACCTGCAGCCCACGGGCCACTTGCGGCTCAGGATGGCTATGAATTCGGCCCAACACAAAATCATAAATGTACTAAAAACACTGTTAAGATTTTTTTGTGTGATTATGTGTTGCAATGTATTCATTGTGTAGCCCAAGACAACTCTTCTTCTAATGTAGCCCAGAGACACCCAAAGGTTGGACACCCTGATAGATGATAAAATTTACTATCAAATCATTTAGCAGTGTTAGATTTTAATTTTCTCATCTTTTTTGTATCATTAATCATTTTAAAATACATCAACTACATTCTGCTAATTTCAAGACTACACATTCATCACAATTTATTTACCCATAAAAATTCTTTAAATTAGGAAAACTGTATGACAAACATTTAAAAAACAGTTTTTGTAATAGTAAAATGTCTAGATTTTTAAAAAACTGTGGAATTATGTTCTATTGACGACCTTTAGGAAACATTAAATTCAGTAAAGAAACAACAAAATGTGATTAGTGACCAATGAAACAGCTAAAATAAAATAACTAAAGACTTAAGCTATGAAATGATATTTTCCCACTACGTAACCAAAACACTGGTACATACTCTTCCAAGAGCAGGTACATTTGAGTAATATAAAGGTTGTCCTACCTCTTCAATTTCCTTATTGAAGCATGGCAAAAAAAGTGTATAAATTATAATAAACTTATACAAACTTACTAAAATACCATATATAATACATATATATGGGGGATAATGTTGCCCATACAGTTAAATGAGGGACAAGTCCACCTCCACAACTATTTTTAGACACAAAACAAGTAATTATGTGAAATCAAATTAGTTATCTCAGAACAAATGTGTAATTAATAATTAAATATAAATTTAAACCATTTTCTTGTGTCTTTATTTATTCCATGATCATGTGCAAGTAATAAACGGCTCTGAAGATTTTAATGAAAATCAAAATGTTAAGATAATTCTAACACAGTTTATAAAATTATGGAAAAACAGCTAGGTGTTGAATGATTAGAAAAAAATTTGTGAAAAATTATGTATATATGAATGACTCATGGAAAATTTGAGCGAAGAGATAAATAAAGCATTTTGCATTAATCACCTCTCTTATTTCATTTTTAGCTTGCTGTATTTTATCTGGTTTGTTAGCAACCATCATTTTTGCCTCAGTTTCACGTTTTTTGAGCAAAGTAATTTGAGCATCTTCCCATTTCTGCCAGCACTTCATTCGATGGTCAAACACACCCTACAAGTGAATGACATAATGCTATTAAGTGACAGTAAATACGAAAATATTTTCATACTAGAAGTACTGTAGTACTAAAAACAGTAAAACCCAGTATTTAAATTCTATTCTAATACACTGACATACTAAAAATAAACATGTCAATACAAAAATAAATAAGTAAATAAATTTATTTCTGTATTTATTTGCTTAAAAACAGAAATCCTGGTGACTGGATGAAATATAAGAGCTCAGAATTTAAAAAATATACAAAATCCGTTTAAATAGCCTTTAGAGTTTTAAATGTGACTCATAATAAGACATTTTACAGAGTTTTATACTTTCAAGAAAGATGTCTTCAGTAGAAAAATGCCAGTGTCATAGCTACACTGGAAGTTTTCCTACTAAATAACATCAAAAGTAGATTTAAGTGTTAGAAATATGCCAGAAACTGAAAAAAGAAAATAGGAAAAACCTGTAAGATAACAGAAAGTCAAGTAAAAACGTGACGAAGAGATTACCAATAGCAAAAGAAAAGCAAAGAAATTAAGTATAACAACAACAAAAAATACATGATGTCTTATACATGATGAAGAGGTCAAACAAATATATATATATACATACACACGTGGGTGTGTGTATAATGCAGAACCAAAAAAATAGACAAAAGACTGTAATAGAACAAGTTAACCAAGTCCATTACTTCTTTTCAATGGGTTTGTCAGAGAAGGAGCAAATGACTGGAGGAAAGAAATAAAATATGACCATAAGAGAGTAAGTAAAAGTCTCATGAAAAAAAATGATGGCTAGTATGAGAGAATAGAATAATCCCTCCTCTAGCCTGATGTTATGGATAAGTCATATTACTTTAGTGTTTACTAACTGGAGCATTAATAAAACTGGGTAAGCCAGAAAGCATGAAACCAAGGATTGTTTTCATTTATTCCAAATAAAAAGCTTTATCAATCAAGAAACAATAAATGTATGTTCTTAAAGGGACCTACTGAAGAGAAAGTATGTAGTACACTTAAAAAATTTAAGCTTTAGAACAAAGTTGGCTTTGAAATCCAGCTTTGTTACTGTATGATCTTGGGTAAATTCATTTAATTTCTATAAGCCTTAGTCTTCCAAATATAAAAGGAGAAAAATAAGATCTATACTTTTGGATTAGAAATAAAATGAAAAGTATGTAGCAGAGTGTCTTAACCTAGTGGACATTTAATAATTAGTAGGTAATATTATGAGTCACTTCTAAATAACATACACATATAAATGTAGCTGATTAACGCAATTTTTACTAAAAGTACAAATAGTAAAAACTTAGCAATATGAAAAAATAGACTGCATTTATATCATATAGCACAGTTTTAAAATGTGACCAAGAACATTAAAAACTCCAAATCAACATGAAACCTAAGTAGTTTTCCCAGAGAGTTCTTAAAGACTGCGCACATTTAAACTAACCAGGACAACACACATTCTGGGGAAACCACTGAGTCAAAGCACCCTATCTATAGGCATTTAAGTCCATTTTGCCAGATTTAATTTGTCATGTCTTATCATTTCTCTTCTCACAGTAAGTGAATCTTACTGTCCTTACTGTCTGCTTTTCTTATATTTAAAAGACCCAAATAAAAATATTTATTATGAATTAATTTAGCTTCAGCCAAATTGGGCCAAAAGCACCAAAGTAATACATCTAACAAACAGATTCAGTCACTACCATTTAAAACAAACCAACAATTCCTGATGCTCACTCTCTATGTGTACACATACACAGAACCAAAACGTAATGTAAAATTTTAGGCCTGGTCTTGCAGGGTTGTCCAATCTGTGGCCCACAGGCCACATGAGGCCCAGGATGGCTATGAATACTGCCCAACATTTAAGTAAATTGTAAATTTAGTTAAAACATTTGAGATTTTTTGGTTTTCATTAGTGTTTGTGTAATTAATGTGTGGCCCAAGACAACTCTTCTTCCAGTGTGGCCCAGGGACGCCAAATGGTTGGACACCCCTGCTAGGGGAATGGGGCCATATCAGCTCTTCATTTATGAATTCCTCTGTTCATTAATAATTTGATTACTTAAAATCTGTACAAATACAGGGCAGAAGCTAACCAAAATGCCCTTAAATTTCAGTATTTGCTTAAGTTCTAAATATAGGGTGGGCAAATGTAGGGTTACAGTTGTTCACATGGAAAATAATAATCAATAAATAGTAATTCAAGAATAAACTGTTTCACAAATGCACAACCATAAACCTACTTTTGCCCTACCCTGTATATATCAACTGTTTTTTTAAGTGATATACTAATTTAGACTAATTTGATTGCTGACCAATTTATTATCTCATAATATCCCAAAACCATCACATCTTTATTGTGATACAGGTGTAGGAGCTATGTTAATAGTAAAACTACTCAAGTCATTTTAGAAAAATAAATTAATCTTAACTGTATAAGAATTAAAACTTCTCTTCATTTTTTTCCTATTTTTGTAACACTGGAAAATAAACCAGAACCCTACTTGCTCTTCTAAAATGCTATCTCTTAAAAAGCAATTAAACCATAATAACATTTGTCTTTGTATGTGAAAATAATCCACTCTAGAACCAGCCTTTTCTATAAAAGGGATGGATGTACACTGATGATCCACTCTGGATCCCCATCCCCCTGCCAATTTAGGCTACACATTTCCATCCAGGTTGATCTAGGTTAGACAAGGCTGCAGTTATGAGTGGTTTTCTTGGCCCACCAGGAAATTTGATGCTGCAATTTTAATTTAATTAATACCATATTCTAATTCAGTGAATCTGAAAGTATGTTGCCCTTCCTGGAATCCTGAAAGGATTCTGATTACTTATAGCCAAACAGTGATGCTTTTAAACTCCTTGTGGAACACATCTATTAGGTGTTTAGAAAAATATTTTTATAAATTTGAATTCCCTGTAAGAATTCTTAATAAAGAGTTCTAGTGCTAAAAACATTCATAACCATTACTCTCAATCCCTGACACTACTCTAGTCGTTCACAGAAGATGAGTACATAAGAATGAAATGCAATGAGTTTACTAATTAATATATGCTAGATAACAGTACTAGTAAAAACATAAAGTCTTAGATCAAGAGACCTTATAGCAGAAAAAAGAGGAAAACAAGAGTTCCCCGGTACAAGGTCAGGTCCAGGCAATATTTTGAATGGGTAAAATTTATCTTTCTTTAGTTCGCCATTTGGGCTCTATATTCTAATTCCCAAAGTACTCCTAGTTTCAAAATTATCATCCAAACAGTCATAGTATGAAAAAAAAAAAGGCTAAGGAGTATTAAACAGCTATTAGAAATAAGAAAAATCAAACACAAAAATTGAACAAGGAGCATATATGAAAAAAGAAATGCAATGGCTTATCATTTGTAAAGATGCTTAAATTCACGCTAACTAAAAAAATTAAAACGTATACAAAAAATACCTTCATTGCTGGGTAGAAGAAGGAACATATATATTGATGGGAGTAAGAGAAATATAACCTCTTTGAGCTGTTATGACATTACTTACTGAAATGCATATACCCTTTGGCCTAGCAATTCTATAAATTTTGTGCCCAGAGTTATTATTAGAATACTTTAATATTGGGCTGAGTAAATAACTCAAAGTACACCTATATGCTATATGATGGAACACTATGCAACTATTAAAAATGTAACATGATGATATAGAGACCGCTCTAAAATAGAGTGAAAAAAAGCAGGCAAAGAACTGAGTATATATAATAGTGTGCTCCTTTTTGAAGAAGGAAGAAAAGGAGGGAGGGAGGGAGAGAGAAACAGAGAAAGAAAGAGAGAGAGAGAGAGAGAGAGAGAAAGAAAGAAAGAAAGAAAGAAAGAAAGAAAGAAAGAAAGAAAGAAAGAAAGAAAATAGCTTCCTATGCATGCATAGCTAATTCTATAAAAATACACAAGAATCTAATATCTGACTGAGGGAAGAGGTCTTAGGTAGAAAAGAAGTTTACATTTTGGGGCTGTTAGAATTCTATGGGCATGTATTGTTTTTTCAAATAAAAATGAATTAGTTTAAGACAAAGAAACAAAAAAAGACCAGAAATATTCCATCAGTCACCCTATTCTGTAATTTCTCAACTCCTTGGTGCAGTTGACCTAGACTAGGTTTCAGCACAAAACCAATCTGAAAGACATTAATTTACCTCATGGTATAAGTTGACCATAGCTCTTTAGTCAATAAATCACTAATTCAGTATTTCCCAAATGTGTTCTATATATGTAAAAATTATTAAATGGAAAATTCCTATTCATATGAATTTGGAAGTCTAGATTAAACAAAGTTAAATGTCTATTTTTTTTTTTTTTTTTTTTTTTTACTCCTAGACATTTTAGAGCTTTTCCATGCCTGCTGAGTATACAAGACAAGGGCATTTTATACATTATCTCCCAAACTCAGATGACAGTGGTATATTTTTTGATGTCTCTGTTCTATAGAACATATTCTAGGAAACATGAATATAACTGTAATTTCACAAAAGGTAAAAGTAAAGCAAGATTTAGGCAGTACAAGGAAAGTTGTTTCTAAGGGATCAACATCCATTACACAGACAGGCCACCTGTGCCAGGGAGTATTTTCCCAGGGTAGGCCTTCTCAGCAGCTACCCCTTCTCATAGACTCTGCCTAGCTGCCCTTTCTGGACCCACAGGTTTTTTGCAGGTGCTATACTTTTTAACTACAGCTCTTATGTTAGTGGGAGCTCTGGAATGAGGTGAGGGTAGGTGAGAAATAAAAAAGAATCATTATCTGTAAACTGGATTTCTTCATATCTTAAGTTACCTATATAAACATGAAGTATATTCAGGTAACTGCTATTTATATTAACATCTTTAAGTAACTATAAAGAAAAATTAACCACCAGAAATATAAAAGTACATATTAGAGTAAATACAAGCAAAATTGGTACTTTTACCAAACCTAAGAAAGCATCATTCTTAAGGTGCTAAGAAGCTTCTAGTACACTGTTACCATTAGCTTGAAAACCAAATCAATAAACATACAATGCATCTATGTTGTGATTGATTGTAGATAAATACTAATTTCATCACAGATATCAGCTGAAAAAATTTTGCATTAGAAAGCAAGGAACTTTCTAGATGCTTGAATTCAAGGTAAATACCCAGTTCCTTCATTCTACAACTAATGTTCATAACAATAATTCAAAAACAAGGTAAGATCTTAAGGTATCTTCTGAAACATAAGATAAGATAATATTAAGTTCAATTTAATTATTTGAATATTAGATATAACTATGTAATATTGATTTCCATTAGAATGATCACTTTTCCAACTATTTAGAAATTGAATACTGTTCATACTTAGTAACTAATCTAATCCTATCTCATCTATAAATACAGGTGACTACACATTTTGGAATATACGAAGAATGTTTACAGACCAAATCCATGCTAAAGTCATCATTAAACACATTCACACAACAATCAATTCTGGTTTTATCCTGCTTCTCATTATTGTTTTACTAATGATATTACAATCCAGTAGGTAGTTTCCGTTTGTGCTACAATGAGCAAACAAGTGCTACCACTTAGCTGCAAACTTGTACATGTAAATATGTATATGCCAAATAAGGCATTCCTCAGACCTCCTAAAAACATCAATTTTGTCTATTGCATTGTACAACTCATACGAAAAAAATTTAAGCTATGAATAATCAAATTCTCTTGTAAGCAAACCACTGAAGTGAGAAGAATTCAAGGAAGATTGCAAAACAAGGCTTACTTTCACTGCAGCAATAAGACGAATGTAGTCACTAAGTAGTTCGGAAAACAAATAAAAGTCAGCAAAAGCTTGTTCTTGATGTAACTGGTCTATCTTCTCCTCAACCTCTGCAAGCTGAGACAAAGCTCTAGATAAAGCAGTATGATCCTCAGAATTACCTAACATGGCAGCACTTTTAGCAAAGGCAGCTGTGTTGGCTGAAAGTTCTGAAATAGAAAAGTATTCACTTTTAATGTTCACTAGTAAAGTTTTTAGATATTGTTTTGATTTTTTCACCTTTTCTCTAAATTTTATCTGTTCACGAATTGCCCAAATTATATTTTAAAATATTTACATAAAACCACCAGCCACTAAAATGCCTTGGGCATAAATGCCCACTGCTCAAAGCTCTCCTGAGGGTCAGAACCACTGCCTGTATCCGCAGAAGATGAACTGTTTAACAATGCAACAATCTGCCCCCCTTTCTCTCCTTAAGTGTTCCTTAAAAAATATGTAAATATATGTATATTTAATATGAAAAGCATAGAGTACACACAACTGATTTATAATACTTTGCCTTTAAACATTTACTTATTAAAAAATATGTATAATTTTTAGTAATATTATTTAACCAACAGGAGGAAAGCAAGGTAAAACTGTACATACAATTCTCATAGATCTTATTCTTTTCCTCTTTTTATGCGACAGTGCTTAGTGAAATATTGAGAATTTCTAAAGAGACTTTTGAACATGACCACTTTAGATACTACAAATAAAAACAGATGTCGACAGGCTGGTGTGTGACTAACAATCACACTGCCTGGAAACTGCTCTGCGGCCCTGCATTGTGAAAAGTGATCTAAAAGAACCTTAAAGCCCATTTGCTAAGAGCTATAATACAAATAGCAAAAGCTGTTATAAACTGCTTTCAACAAACTAGATTTTTGTAATTATTGTATTTAAATGTATTGCTGATAATGGCACATACTAACTTACTTATCAAGAATTTAAAAAATCTGTATCAAAAGCCTTCTTTAAAAATAAAACAAAACCAAAAAAGAAAACTCACCATGAAATTTAAAAATTACAACTCAAATTTTCTATATATTTTTAACAAAACACCCAGATTTTTAAATACAATGGTTCAAAAATGAAGAAAATATTTCAGAGTTTTCAAGAAAATACAGGCACAGAACACATATTTTAAGGAAAATGACAAAGATTAACAAAGAGTTAACCAAGTGAACAATTTTAAACCATAATCTAAAATATATTTTTATAAGCTCATGATGTTTCTACTTCTAAACTAGAGGTTAAAATAGAACAAAAAATATTAAACAACAAAGTTGAGATAGAAAACATTCTCTTAAACTATGTTTTTTCCCTTCTATAATAACTTCAAAATACTCATTTTAATAAAAATTTTTATAAAATGTTTCAGTTAATTCATGTTATTAAACAAATAAATAATAAGGTAAACAAACCTTTTCTATGACAGACCAAGGCTTCAACATGGGCATGAAGTTTCCTAAGTTGCTGATCCAGATTTTCAAATTGCTGCTGCTTTTCTTCAAACCACTAACAAAAAAAATGAAAAATGGAGCTTATTTAGCCAGAACAAACTACTTTAAATTAGGTTACCAATAGCAAGCTACATTCCTTGTTTTAAAGCAACAAATTAACCATGGATAACCATGGTGGTCAACTGATGTGGTTGAGAACTAAACTCAATAAGCAAATTAATATCCTATTTTCTACTTGTACAGCTTTAAAATGCAATTGTTGGGCTCATTAATTCATCTCATTATTCAAGTCGAAAAATCAGCTCTTACTGCATCCGATTCATTCATCTTGATTGTCATTTTGTTGACAGCGTCTGCAGCCTTGTTCACCATCCTCAATATTCCTGCTCCACTCAGAGCCTGCGTATTAACTGCTCTAGGCAGCTGGAATTGAATGACAAATAAGGGCAAACAAACCGGTTAAAAGCCTGGAGGTTTAACTGGGCACAAAAGGGATTGTCCCCCCCACCTCCCCAAAAAAAGAAAAGAAAAAAAAAGGAGGTTGTATTTTCTTCACTCTCATACATTTCTATAGTGAGATCTAATTTCTCAAATATACCAGTTGTACATTCTCAAAGGAAAACTTAAAAAATTGACTTTCCATTTGTTTTTTCTTCTGCACGTTTACATTTAGATGGAACAACAGTCTGTTTGTCAAAATATATTAAGTAATTGCCAAGCACCTTAACATTGGCCACCTGTTTGCTGGCAGAAATAAACTGTTTATAAGGGAAGAAGAAAGTCTTGAGAAAAATCTCCTCATGCTCAGTTAAGACTGTGATTTTGAATTTTTTAAATATTCTGGGATTCAATAAATTTTTAGAAGATCTCAAAAGGTAACAATCAGAACTCTAAACTGTTTAAGAGCCCAAAAATGTGCCAAACAACTCAAATATAAAGAACAGCATATTTAATAATTTAGGCTCTTTCAAGTTACATATTTGCATTTCAAAACCTAAATAAGAACATTCAAATATAGACAGAAATGTATTCTACTGTCTCTAAAATGCATTCTGAATAAATTTATTTCAATATGATGTCTAAGCAACAATTAAGGCACTGAAAATCAGACTACATAAGCCATTCTTTTAAATCTGGTTTTAAATTTTCCAGAAAAAGACTGATAATCCTATAATGATCAAAGCAAAGAAGACATTATGCTAGTAATTTAGTTAAGAATTAAAACTAATGAAATCACTAAGCAAAAAAAATCATTGCTTTATTCCATCTATTAATCCATTTATTTCCTGAGTTATTTCCTAATTATATAACTTATTACACAGAAAAATATAAATAGCGAGACGATTTATACACAAAATTTTAAAGTAGAAATAATACCTCTGAGCTTTCCAAGAACTGCCTTAAATCAGGATCCTGGAGTAAAGTGGGATGCTTTACTGTTCTTTGAAGGTACCTGGATTTAAGAATAAATTTGCTCCTTTATTTATCAGTAGCATCTTATTTCAACAAAAGGTCAGATACATAAAAAGACATCTTCAGTCTGCCTCCTATCAGTCAGCCTCACTATGATTTAGAATCTTACAGCAATTTAATGAATTAAAAAGCTTTTTGTTCATCATCTGAATATTCATTTGCTTTAAAAGAGGTATGTCAAGGAATGAGGGAGTGGGGAGAGGTTAAATAACTTACCAAACTGCTCACTGAAAAGTATAAAAGGGCATATGAGTTTGTCAAATAATTTAATCTTTGGGTGGAGTTATTACTTCAGAGTCCTAAGAAACACATCACTCTGTATATTCATCAACTATTTTTTATTACTATTACGTATTACCAAAATGGAGAACAGCCTACAGTTTTTTTTCCTTATCGGCAGATTTAAATGATCAAATCAGCTTTGGCCCGTATTTGACAAGGAATAAATTTTCTTCAATATTTCTATTTTTAAGGTTTTGCTATTATTGATAAATGTCTTATGGGACACCACATAACACAAAAATAAAAAAGGAAAACAGCATTATTAAATAAATCACTATCAGCCCAAATTTTAGTCATTTTCTTTACTAGAAAACCCCACATTCCCATCATCCATAATTACCATTCTTTCATAAAAAGAATTAAAGTCCACTATTGATGATTCTCGATTACTTATCTAATCCCATTTTTTAAAAAAAATCACTTTCCCAGATTAGAGATTACATGAAGTAATATCTCAATTAAATTTTACCTCACATTTAATATAACTTTATTCTACTTCTGTGGAATAAATGTAGTCAACAATTGCTCCTACTTTTTTGCAAGATTATAAAATATGCTAAAATAAAGTTTCTGGGACAAAAAAGTGAATACTTTCTCTAAAGTCAAATTCTAACCAATGGTTAAAATTATTTTAATTTTTGTATATTTAAATAAAATATATACCATATTAAACTTCATTTTAAATCATTAGCCCACATAAGAAGTCATTATCATACATACGTGCAATACAATCTACACTGGATTTAAAATATTTGCTGCCTATATTATCAAGCTAAAAAAGAGATGCAGCAGGAACACTAATCCAGTAGTACATTTCAGAAATGTTGGTATTTTCCCATTGGAATTTTACTTACATATTTAATACCCAAGGTTTTCCAGTATTATTAGGTAAGTTATTTCGTTGTTTAGACTGCTTGCTGCCTATAGCAGTTTGCATACGTTGTTCATCTGAATGCAAACAGCTGGTAAATAGCCAGCACACAGACATTTGTGAAATGAACATGAAGGAAAGCAAAACATCTAGTCCACAAACTTTAATAAATGTTCCAGTGTTTCAAACCTAAATGAAAACACCTAATACTATTTATATTTTAAAACAGCTTTCCAAAGGGAGTTTATATTATGTACATATTCCTTTCAGTAAGATTCATAATGAACAGCAAAATATTAGGTGTTGTGAGAAGTCCTGCAGAAAATAAACCTGATTTAACTTTGTTAAACTATATGTTAAGAAAATTCAATTGACTATAGATTTCCTTTTTTCACCCTACCACACACTAGCATTCTGAGGAGTCAATCTTAGCAAATGATATTCTAGAAATAAACAGTAAAATTTTTCTTCCTCTTGTTACATGAAAGTAAAGAGCGACTAACCATTAAAAACAGAAGTATTAAGCTTTATGCTGAATGTTAAAATTAAGAACAGAAACATAAAATGAATTTTAAAATTAATATTGGTAAACATACACCAATTCAGAATTAAGGCGACGGAGAGTTTCCAATATATAAAGGAAGGATACAGAACAAAAGGAGGAAAAGCATGTAGAAGAACACATGGAAAGGAGTACGGGAAGAAACAGGAACACTGAAGGAGGGCAGAAATGACAGACTCAAATGAAATTAATGAAAAGTAAGTATCAGACTCAACAAGAGGTAGGTCAGTAGTTATTTTTCAGATTTGCTCTAACAAAAGGATGCTGTTAAATTTAGAAGAATTTACTTAGGATGTTCAAGTTCCTATTATTTACCAAAAACAAAACAAAATACAGCAGGTTATACAAAATGCTTGACAGGTACATAGTTAAAAAATATTTCCTTGCTTGAAACTCAAGCACCATGATAATAATAAGAGAATAAAATAGGCAAAAAGAACCTCATTGTTTGATGACAGAACTGTTCATTCACCAAATATTCATTGAGCACTTACTACATATCAGTCATTGTTCTGAGGACTCAGAATGTGTCAGTGAACAAAAGAAAACAAGACCCTTCCCTAGTGGAGGCTGTATTTTAATCAGAGAAGATGGACAATAAACTTTAAGTGTACTAAGTATGTAAATTATGTAGTATGTAACAAGGTGGCAAATGCCACAGGGAAAAGGGGAGAGCAGTATAGCAAACAGAATCAAGTGTGTAAGGTGTGGTTGGTGGCAATTTAAATAGAATAGGTCTAAATGAAGGCAATGATCAGAACAGGCTTCAGTGGAAAGGTGATATTTGAACATTTTGACTTGAAAGAGGTAAGGGAATTAGCCATGCAGGTACCTGGGAACAACAGCTGTCTAGGCAATGGGAGAGGACAGTGAAAAAACCCTAAGGTGAAAGACTGCCTGGGACCTCTGAAGGGCAGCAAAAAAGTCAGTGTGGCCTAAGCAGAGTGATCAAGGGGGCTATGAGATGGAATAGGTAACAGAGTGAGCAGTACACATCAGGTAAAATACTGCAGGCCATTTTAAAGACTATGGCTTTTACTGAGTGAAATGGGGGTGAGTATTGATATAATCTGATTTATGATTTAAAAGTATGACTTTGGCTGTTATATTGAAAAACAGTAGAGTACTTTTGAAACTAATATAATACTGTATGTCAACTGTAATTGAAAAATAAAAAAGTATTTTAAAAAAGAGTACAAATGTAAAAGTTCAAGGATGGAAATGGAGAATTAGGAGCCTACATCAGTAAATTGAAGCATTTGGACTAGAAGAGGACTGGTGAGAAATAGCTGTATTCCAGATACTAGAAGGAAGTAATAGGATTTCCTGATGAATTAGATAATCCTAAACCTGTGCCCACTCTCCAAACTTCCTAATATGAAAGAGTGGATTAATCAATCTACAAGAACTGTTCAGGCCTTTCCAGTGGATTTTTAGTACTTGGAATGAAGACATTCCAAACTGATACTTACATCTTAGAGATAAAGAATGAAGTTAAATAACTTGCCTAAGGTCACACAAAGTGTGCATGTATAGTACAGTGCAGACTTCAACAGACAGGATTGTAAATATGCACACTGTATCATGCTACTCTGCATTACTCTGTTTCTATTTGCAGAACTGTATCCTTACCTGTAAAATAGACTCAATATACTCTTAAAGTGAGATGTGAAGCACTCTCAAGAAAATCAAGTGAGCAATCTTAGAGATACTCTCAATAGAAGTAGTTTCTGCTTAAATCACTGAGTGTGACACAGGGAAATACTTGGGTTCTTAACCACTCTTCCTATAATGTAATACCAGAAGTTTATCCTTTTTTAAAAGATAGTCATCTGGATTCTCTAAATTGAACAAACAAACGTGTAAATGAATATCATGGTACACACAAAAAGAAGTACCTCCCTGACCCACCAGATTCAATGAGGTTGGGTATTCCACAAATATACCTGTTCTAACATTTCAATTTTAAGAAATGCCACAGAAAAATCACTTTAGAAAATTCATTCCAGTTCCTTTGTTTCTATGCCTTAACACCTATATTTTCTTCAGTCATCTTTTCTAATGGAAAATAAACTTTCCCCTCGGTAGTACACTGTTTCTTTTCTTTCACTACTGCAAAGTGCACTAAACTAGTATTTAAAAATAACATTTATCAGTAAAGAAAATTGTCTTCACATATACACTAAGTTAGGTTTCAATATTTCCTTAAAACCCTCCTCAATGTTTCATACTGCATGAAGGTATGGTAAGTACAATGCAATGCATTCAAGTTACAAGAAAGGAGAATGTAGAACCAAATTATATGTGCTCGGTACAATAAATCTTCATTAAGTTCCTTATCAAGCATGCCATCCGAAATATTTCAAATTTACTCATAGAAAAATAGGACTTGAAAGGTTTCTCAAAGGGTCATGGTTATACTTTCAGGAAGGACTAAACAAAATCAAGACAGAGCATTATCTACTTTCATTCTTGAAAATATTCAGTTTATAACTTCTTTTACAACAGAGGCAATTCTAATACTAAACCTAAACATCTCTTGATGCAATTTAAATCCTTTTCATGAGTAATTGCTGATTCTCACAGACACAATCTCATCTTTTAAGTCTTCTCTAATTTAAGATTTTAAACTGCATATCCTTTAGCTTTTCTCACTGGAATTGTTCAAACCTGACTTTACTGTAGCATTTTCTTATAATTTAAATGATTTGCTATTAAAACAGAGAAATAAGTTGCCTTAAAAATAGTATTAAAATTAATTTGTACCCTGGAGATGATACTACTCACTAAATCTTCCCTACTCCCTCCTACCCCAGCCACTGATTTTAAGCCAAAATAAAGCCAAATTGTAAGCCAAAATATTAATTAAAATAAACAAAATTCAATGAAAATTTAAAAATCTACAAAATTAGAAAATATTTTAACCTTAGGTAATGTTATGTATGCATGTTCTAAAAGTTGGATAGTTTCAAAATTATTTTCTCACATTTTCAGCATAGCAAGGAAAGAATAAATGTTAAGATTCTGGAAATGGGAATCCTCCCAATCCAATCTACTTTTAAAAGTCAGCCACAATGCAGACAAGTCTTAAAAGCTACAGGAAATGTGTTGAATCAAGAAGTTAAAGGGAGATAGAGCATATATATTAGTCTTTAAACACATGGTCAACTCATGCAGTCACTAACGCTTTTGTACACTCAAGTCAAAATCAACTCTATGAAATTAATGATGGGAGCACAAACCTAATTCTTCCGTGTATTTAATAATCTTACCCAGTAATAATTCAAAGAAAAACTTAATTTAGATGAAGTATAAATCGCCAAATAATCTAACACAATAAGTACATCAATGTATGACTTCCTAAGAACCTAAATAATACTAAAGAGGTATTATTTTTATCCAAATATTTTTATTAACCCTTCCCCCAATTCACAAGATTCATGTTTTCTTTTTTCTTACTTCTCTTGTTGACTACAACTATGACATAATTCTATTCTCAATTAATACATGCCTTTATACTGCTGCTTGTAACAATGATACAACAGGTGGTATGCTGGCAGACTGTGAATGCAAGAATACAAGCAGAACAAACATACAGTATTGTGTTGTTTAAAGAAGGAATCTTCTTCATAAAGTTTAAAGCACTCTTGATATAAGTCATCAAGTGGTATTTTGAAAGAAATTAATCACCAATATACAGTTGTATCATTTAATGGAATTAGACTTATATTACTTAAGTACAAACATGAAAGTAATAAAGCAGAACTGTCTACAATTACCTTTCAAGAGCCGCTCTCCGTTTTTCCACAAATTCAGTGGATGACAAATCTTCTTTGCCCACTTTGACCTTGGTCATGCCTTTGAAAAAAATGAATGAGACTCATGATGATTTTATATTATTATGAAAGTCTTTTATCATCACTTCTAATATAAAATATACTTTAAATCTGAACTTGTCAAAAAGCTTCTAAATTTATAATTAGTATCATACTTTTGAGAAATTAAAACTCATTATATATAACTTTACTTGATAAGTACTTATAAATTAAGCAGAGATTGAGCTGTGTGTAGTTTTCTAATCTACAACTTTTGGACTCCTTATGTGTTATATATTATACTCCTGATAAATTAAAATGTGTTTATATTTCAATAGAATTCAAATTAGTAAACTTAAGCTCAATTAATATTTTCAATTCTTATTAGCAATAATTAAGGTACTTTTTCTTGGGGACAAGAAAAATAAAGAGTATAATCCATTAATTTTCTAAACATTATCTCTTGCAGATTCTAAGAACATGTTCTTACTGTTTATCATAGCTTTTATAATAACTGAAACAATTTCTTTCAAAGAGACATCTAGAACTCTTCAAACTTAAAAGATAAAAGTCATGTAAATAATTTCTCTACTGGCAATTTCAATTTTCACACTAATACAGAAGACTGAAGATTTTCCTTTCTTTTCTTCTTTTTCCTTTCAAAAACTGATTCTGTAGAAATAAAGTACTGGCTATATGCTGTAACATGCATGAACCTTGAAAACATTATACTAAGTAAAAGAAGCTTGTCACAAACCACCTTATGTTATATGATTGCCTTCCTATGAAATGTCCAGAATAGGCAGTTTACAGAGAAATTAAATTTGTGATTGCCTATGGCTGGGGCCTGGGGAAATTAAGAGAATGATAGCGAAGAGATAATATAATATTCCAAAATGATGTGGTGATGTACAGACAACTCTGATATACTAAAAGCCATTGAACTACACACTTAAATGGATGAACTGTATAGCACGTGATTACATCCCAACAAAGTAATTAAAATGGGCTATGTAAAACCATATAATTCTAATTCAGGTTGATATATCTGATGAATAAACACATAAGTGTATAATACCTATGAACGATCCATTTAACTTAATTCCTCTGAAATACAATAGTTTGAAAAACAAAACTCAAACATCTACCCTGAATGGACTACAAAATGTCAGATATTAATTATTGCACATATTCTGTTTTCCTGAAAAAAACAAAACAAAACAAAACCCTACCGAGATATATTTTTTGCTTTTATTTCAAGATTCTTCTGCTCATGCTATTTCCTAGAGGTAACTGTATAGGCCATTGTAAAAAATTTTTTAAAAGCCTTACAGTAACCAGTTATCTCTTAAATTTTCAACTATGTTGCTCTTTTCTAAAAGCTTAGTGAAACAGTGTTTTTAAGTCAACTACGGTTCTATAAAAGAATAGTAACCATTACGTGCTAATGAAAAGACTCCTCTTCCCTCAGTGCTAGTTATAGCTTTCCAGCAAAGAAGTCACTACTCTTATTCCACCACCCCATTATTAGTGTTTGTCATTTGAAAAGAGCCTCCATATTTCAATTTTTTTAGAAAATGTATTCATTTTTATTTTTAAAAAATTGATGAACAATATGAACAAAATTTTAAAATATCTACTTGGTTGGCTACTAGGGAAGCTCAGAGATCAGTTCGTTACCCACCTTTAGTAATTGTTCAGACTTCATGTACACATTTTGAAAAAAATTTACACTGGCTTCATCTTACTATTTGACTCTAATTATTTTTCCTGACAATTTCTTTATATTTTTAAAATCAAGTTGCATTATATGTAGTTGCTTCAAATCTTTTCTGGAATAAAGTGGTACATAAATAATTTTAAAACAATTTAATCCTCAAGTGTATATTAGAAAATTCTACAATCACATAATATTAGACTGTTTTTATTTTTAAGTATATTTTACTGCTTAAGCTCTTACAGTTGTCCATTTCTCCCCTTTATTCCCCTCCACTATGCACCTCCCCTCCTACCAGCATTACCTCCCTTAGTCCATATCCTTGGATACAACCATACATATAAGTTCTTCGGCTTCTCAATTTTCTATACTATTCTTAACCTTCCCCTGTCTATTTTGTGCTTCTACCATTTATGCTTCTCATCCCCCGTACCTTCTTCCCCATTCTCCCCCCTCCCCACTGATACCCCTCCATGTGATCTCCATTTCTGTGATTCTGTTCCTATTCTAGTTGTTTGCTTAGTTTGTTTTTGCTTTTTTTTTTAGTTCAGTTGTTAATAGTTGTGTTTGTTCTCATTTTACTGCTCATATTTTTTATCTTTTTCTTCAGTAAGTCCCTTCAACATTTCATAAAATAAGGGCTTGGTGATGATGAACTCCTTTAATTTGACCTTACTTGGGAAGCACTTTATCTGCCCTTCCATTCTAAATGAAAGCTTTGCTGGATAGAATAATCTTGGAAGTAGGTTCTTGCCTTTCATGACTTTGAATACTTCTTTCCAGCCCCTTCTTGCCTGTAAGGTCTCTTTTTGAGAAATCAGCTGACAGTCTGATGGGAACTCCTTTTCTCTTGCTGCTTTTAGGATGCTCTCCTTATCTTTAATCTTGGGTAGTGTAATTATGATGAGCCTTGGTATATGCTTCCTTGGGTCCAACTTCTTTGGGATTCTCTGAGCTTCCTGGACTTCCTGGAATTTTATTTCTTTTCCCAGATCGGGAAAGTTCTCCTTCATTATTTGTTCAAGTAAGTTTTCAATTTCTCGCTCTCCCTATTCTCCTTCTGGTATCCCTACAATTCAGATGTTGGAACATTTAAAGTTGTCCTGGAGGTTCCTAAGACTCTCATTTTTTTTTCTGAATTCTTGTTTCTTCATTCTTTTCTGATTGGATGTTTCTTCCTTCCTTCTGGTCCACTCCATTGATTTGAGTCCCAGTTTCCTTCCCTTCACTGTTGGTTCCCTGTACAATTTCATTTATTTCACTTTGCATAGCCTTCACTTCTTCCTCTATTTTGTGACCATACTCAACCATTTCTGTGAGCAGCCTGATTACCAGTGTTTTGAACTCTGCATCCGATAGATCTGCTATGTCTTTGTTACTTAGTTGTTTTTTTGGAGTTTTGATCTGTTCTTTCATTTGGGCCATATTTCTTTGTCTTGGAGTGCCTGTTACGTAGTAAGGGGCAGAACCTTAGGTATTGGGAGGGGTCAAAGAGGGAATGGTGCCATTTGCTTTTGCCCTACTTTCAGCCACTTCCCCCATTACTCACAACCAACCAAGCAAACTGGGCCCCTCTGATGCTGATTCCCAGGTGGGTGGGCTTGTGTACACTCTAGGATCCTGTGTCTTTCTCCAACAAACTCTCCTGTGAGGCTGAAAGTTTCTCCCACCACCGCAACTCCCACAGGTTTTTACAGCCAGCGGTTTTTGAGACTTTCTTCTCCTGCACTGGAACTCTGGGTTGTGTGGTCTGTCTCGCTCCTCAGTTATTGTTCCCGGTTTATCTGGACACAAATGTGGGACCGCCAGGCGCTACCTTGCTGGGTGTCCTCTCCACTCCAGCTGCCTGTCTCCACCCCTCCTACCAATCCGGACGAATGTTTCTTCTTGTCAGGAAGTTCCTTGGTTGTCAGACCTCCATAGAGTTTGATTTTCTGGCAGTTCTGGTTGGTCTTTGTTTTAAAATTTGTTATTATCCTTCTTTTGGTTGTACAAGGAGGTGAAGTGTATCTACCCATGCCTACATTTTGTCCAGAAGTGAATTAGATTGTTTTTAAAAACCAAAAGGTTTTCTGTTTTATGTAAAAAATAAAAATAAATCATAATCATAAAAAATACAAAAATTGAAAGCAGACTAGAATAGTGATTAAGAGTAGAAGTTCTAGAGTAAGATGGCTGGTCAGCATTTAGAGCTCAGTTCTGCCTTTTAGTAGCAGTATGATATGGGGCATGATACATAACCTTGATGAACTTTAGCTTCCTTATCATGAAATACAGACAATAGTAAGCTGACTTCCTAAAGTCGTTATGAGGATTAAACGAGAATGCACATAAATTATGTAGCTTAGTACTTTAGCACAGTAAACAGTCAATGAATGTTAATTATGGCTATAATTTAAGTGAGTCTTACAATTTAATGGTCTATCCTGGCCATATCTATGAACAGTATGAATGTAACTGTGTCACTGTCCCCCACTAACCTTTGAAGGCTGTGAGAATCAGTATCAGAAAAGAATTCTCTCACACAGGGGTATCCAAGCTTTTGGAGTCTCTGCACCACACTGAAGAGTTGTTTTGGGTCACACATTAAATACTTTGTGGCACATAATCACACAAAAAAACTCAGAGTGTTTTAAGTAAATTTATGATTTTTGTGTTGGGTTGCATTCACAGTCATCCTAGGTGACATGTGGCCCATGGGCCACAGGTTGGACACCGCTAAGGACTTAGTTTCTTCTATTTTGAATTTCTATGTGCTATTTATTAGCCTATAATCATTTGTGGAAAGTTGAAGATATTTGAGGCAAAATATGAGTTTGAAATATAATGAACTTGAGCATGAAAATTTAGTTTTTAAATCTTTTCTTTTTGGTTAATGTTTAAATACTAAACTTTCATATCTAGCCAGCAAAATAAGAGATATAATGTGTTTTTCCTCTTTTGATATATAAAAGTAATTGCACAACTTAAAGTTAATGAGAAAAGGATATTAATAATAAATTTATAATAGATAAAACTTAAGTTCCCTACATAGGTAACAGGATGCCAAAAGATACCACTGTGGTAGTTTAAAGAGAGAAATAAGAATACTAACTAGATCAGTAGTTCTCAAAGTATGGTCAAGAAAACCTGGAAGGTTTCAGAGACTCTTTTTGGAGGAAAGGAGGGTAGTGCACAAGTTTTATTTTCATAATAGCTTTAGGCAATTATTTGTCTTTTTTACTCTCATTCTTTAATAAAAGCTCAGTAAAGTTTTACAAAGATTATATGATGTGTTATATCACAACAAATTGAGTGCAGAAGCAGATATGAGAATAGAGCTATCTTCTGTTAAGCCAGAAATTAAAGAAATTTGCAAAAGTGTAAAACAAAAACAAAAGAGCAAGGTACTCTTATTGATTTTTATTTTTCACAAAATTTTATTTGTTAACAGGTAGTGAGTTTATTTTTAAAAGAATAAATACAATTTTAAAACATTCTCATATAATAAATATTGATATAGCCCACAAAAGCAAAAGCTCTTTACAATTCTCAATAAATCTGAAGAATGTAAGTCTTGTGATCAGGAAGCTAAAGAATTAACAACTAGGTTTTTGAATTAAAAAAAAAGTAACAAATCCATTCAAATATATCAAGTTTCAAAATCATGATGGATAGGATAAAAATTGTTCTTCAAACAAAATGTTAAAAGTAAAATAATTTAAAGATCAAAAAATTCACTTTAGGATATTTTTCAAATAATCTTATGTATAAAGAAATATAAAGTGAGGTAAATAAAAACCTGTGACTGAAAAGATTGGAAAAAATATATTACAGAATTTTAAGAAATGACAGATGTCTTAATGGTGAGACAATGGAGGTTCTCTATTGTAGTTTTCTGCATACTTTAAGCCTTTATTACTTGTACAGGTAGCAATGTTTTTAAATATTAAATTGAGGTACAAAATAAATAGTTTAAATAGCTCCTATCTGAGTGAGGCTAGATCATATCTTCTTTTTGGATGACATATAGCTGAGAGCCAAACGCCTCTATGCCTTAGAAAACATTATTAATATGCTAATATTAAATATCCTCTGAGTGTTACTCAATAATATGGCACTCTCATGATGTTAAAAAGTTAGGGTTTTCAACTTGGCAAATTCTGACCCAATATTTAACATCATTATTTTATATAAATCAAAATCCTCAGGTGTTAGAAAATAAAACTAAAAGGCTATACAGTCTTTGGTTGATAAATAACTGTCATAAATGGAATATTTAAATTCCTTATCTCTAGATACTATGTCATTATGATCATGGAATCTACAAAGCTATACAGTAACAGTAACCAAGTTGTTTTGTCTTTTTTTATTCACACTTACCTACTATACTCTTTTCTGGAGCTGGTGGCACAATATAACCGACATGTAAATACTTGCTTGCTAACTTGCTATGCAAACCAAGAAAGTCACTAAATCTTCTTTTTACCGAAAATTCACTCTTACTGAACATCGAAAGAGAAGTCTACAAGTGAAAAAGAGGTATTTCAAATTCTGAATACTAAGCAATTATTCCGAAGTTAATGTCATATATAATTGTAAACATAAATGGATGTACACACATTGGTATACCTTACAAAAAATCCAGAATAGTTAACTAAAGTGGTATACAGATTGCTAACAAATGAAAATACCTGAATCATAGGTATTTTTATGGAAACTGAAGAGGACAGAAAACATTTACTTTATGCCATCCCTGACTCATCTCATTGTCTCTGCATATATTTATGGTAATGACTCTTAAATCTTTATCTCTGATCCAGATCTCCTCAGAGCTTCAGTCCAACATCTCGAGATGTTCAAGAAACACCTCCACTCAAATCTTACTGCCACGTCAATTCACCATATTTCCCCCTGCTGGCACATAGTTCCATAAGGGAAGGACACCTGGTTATCTTGATTACTATTTTACCCTAGTGCTTGGAAAAGAGCCTGACTTCATGGTTAGTGCTTAATAAATATCTGTTCAATGAATTAACAAATCTCCTCCCTGTCCACACTGCGTTTCTCCACTTGTGTTGCCTTTTCTCCAGGACCACCCCAAGCACCACAAAGTTCCTCTACTCGGTAACTTAGGCAGTCATTCCTTTCTCATTCCTTATACCCAAGCCTTATTGATTCTACCTCCTACACAACTCAAGAAGCCATTTATTTCTCACCCTCAGAACAAATTCCACAATATAAAGTATTATTTCTCACAGCTAAAATTGATACAGACCCTCTCTCTCCCATTTAAAATTTGAAGGCCTACAATCCTTTTAAGAATTGCAATGGAGCCCTGGCTGGCGTAGCTCAGTGGATTGAGCACAGGCTGTGAACCAAAGTGTCACAGGTTCGATTCCCAGTCAGGGTACATGCCTGGGTAGCAGGCCATGACCCCCAGCAACTGCACACTGATGTTTCTCTCTCTGTCTTTCTCCCTCCCTTCCCTTTCTAAAAAATAAATGAAATCTTAAAAAAAAATTCTACAATTAAAAAAAAATATTAAAAAAAAAAGAATTGCAATGGACTCTTAACTAGAAATCCTGACCACTACTTTGATACTTCCAGTTCATACTGAGTCAGAGAGATTTTTCTAAAACAAAAATCTAATTCTCCCACACTTTTGTTTGAACCTCTTCAATGGCTCTCCTCATGATGAAGTTCAAATTCCTTAAGGTTGACGTTCATAATATAGGAGGCTTACTGCCAAACAATTCAATGAGGTACCACTTCTTGCAGTTCCTAGAAGGCACAATGCTTTCATGACTTCTGGCTTTTACACAAAGCAAATTCCTTTGCTGGAACATGCATTCGCCTTTCTCCCCCTCACCACCTCCCCCAATCACTGCTCCTACCTTTGTCTGTATTAGGTCCCTTCCTGCATACTCTCAAAGAATATTTTACCTACCAAACCCCTCACAATTCATTGTAACAGCATATTTGCAATCTTTCCTGGATGGTCACCTTGCTAAATGCAGGGATCACTTACAACTTGATCATCCTTGTGCTATACATAGTGAGGACTCAGTATTTTTAAAGGAGCGAAAGGCTCACCTTTGTTGTTACTCTATATGCCATGTAAGCGTTCATGCCATCACCTATAAGAAAAGTCAAACAATGCTATTAAAAAACAGAAGCTTAACTATACACACACACAAAAGGTAACTATGTGAGGTAATGTGCTGATTAAGCTGTGGTAATTTCATACTGTATATATACATGAAATCATCACATTGTACATCCTAAATATATGTAATTTTTATGTCAACTGTACCTCAATAAAGCTAGAAAAAAACAAAATAAAATAAACAAAAATCCCCCATGAGCTTAAAAATGCAAGTGCCATTTTAATACAGTAACAATGCATTTAGTAAACCCAAAACAGCACATTAACCAAGTTTATTATCAAAAAGTAGTATAAAATATAATAAATATTGACTCACCAACTTTCTCTGGATCTGATACACCAATCTCTATATCAAAAACATCTCCATTTGTTTCTTCTTCAATCTAAAAAATATATTTTTTGATGTTAAAGAGTCCAATTTATATTATTGTCATAACACTAATCACTATAATTTTCATTATCTAACTTTTACTAGGGTTGCTGTCACATCAATCAACTTAAAAAGCCATTTAGTACTCCATTTCTAAAAAAATAAAAGCTCTCATATTTCTTTACTATGTAAAAACACACACCCAAAGACAACAGGAAAAGGATCATTTGTAAAAGTAACACAAAATCTTGTGTTCTTACAACTCCTCAGATGTGGAAAAAGCATTTTAGTCTTCTGTAGAAATACTGTATATATCTTTGTAATATGTATCAAATCTTCAGACTCAGATTATTAAAGTAAGAGCTCCTTAACTATGCTTAATAATAGCATTTTTCAAAGTTGTATATCTATTCTCTTCTTTACAGATTTTCTTTATTTTTAGAGAAAGGGAAAAGAGGGAGAAAGAAAGAGGAAGAGAAACATTGATGGAAGAGAGAAACATCGATCAGCTGGCCTCTCATACATACCCCAGCTGGGGATGGAACCCACAACCTAGGCATATGTCATGACAGGGAATTGAACCGGCAACCTTTGCTTTGTGGGACAACATCCAACCAACTGAGCCACACTGGTCAGGGCTGTATCTCTATTCTTTAATAACCAGGAGGGAGTAATTACTTCTGCTAGTAGATTACTACATACTTGCAAAAATTATTATACCAATAAGCAACTTTAGCATCTGATTTAATTACCCAGTAAACACATGTTCTTAAAGCCAATGAAAGCAGTATAAAGCTCTCTAAAAAAAGCAGTAAGTAGGAAAAATAACCTATGAGACTACAGAGGAGCATTTTTTAATGGCATTTTAAATAAGCAATTCTAATAGCAACTCTGCAGGAAAGTTTTGTTATTCTCAAGAAACAAAGAAATTGTTAAATATTGCTAAATTTTAAAGCAATATTGATAGTCTAAGACTATGTAAAAGGAAAGTTAGCTTTTTAAAACTATAATCTTTTTACTTCAATGTTGTCCTCTTATACAAATTTTTAAAAAGTAAGCCATATTTGAAATGTAGCATACATAAAGTATATAAATCCTAAGTATAGCTTGATAATTTTCACAAAGTGAACACCTTTGCAAATAAAACCTACATCAAGGAACAAACAGTATTATTACACCACAGAAGGCCCTTTTATGCTTTGCTTTTTCTCCAGTCAGAACCCATCCTCCACCCACCAACATAACCACTAATATTAATTGCATGTTTTTATATAATAAAATTACTCAAAATATCACTTTATTGTATTAAGTTTTCAAAGCATTTTCATATATTACCTTATTTGACCAACATAGGAACCCTGAGAGGCACACATCATTTTAAGGTCACAAACGACAAACTGCTTGACTTAAGAAGGAAAGTGATTTGACAGAGGATGTCACTTCTGCAAAATGGAGGCATAGGTGACTGCACCGTACCTCCACCCACAACCAAGATTGGAACAACAACAATTTAGAGGCAGAGTAACACCCAGAACTGACAGAAAATTTATCTGAATGGAAGTCGGACAGCCAAGAAGTTGAAATAGACCCGTTTATCCAGACCGGTACGAGGGGCAGAGACAAGCAGCCGGGCGCGGGGTTGCGACGCAGAGAATAGGGAGAATTGGGCTCATAAGGCAACCAGGAGCATGTAAGACATCTGGGGCCCACAAGATCGCAGTAGGTGGACCCTGAGTACACAAGTGGCAGCTGGCAGACCCAGTGAGGTGGCATTGTAGACCAGGGCAGAGTGCGCAACCCAGGATCCCAGAGAAGGGACTGAGATCCTAGGAGAACGGAGCTACCGCCATTGTCCCCCCCGCACCCCCACATACAACGTCACAATCTAGCGACTGGGGTGCCCAGCCCAGGTGAACACCTAAGGCTCCGCCCCTCACTGTAACAGGAGTGACCAGTCCAAAGAGAGAGAGAGAGAGAGATGGCTCAAACAGAAGAACAAATCAGTACCCCAGAATGCATCCTTTTGAGTAACAAAGAAATAGCTAACCTATCAGATGCACAGTTCAAAACATTCATGATCAGGAAGCTCACAGAATTGGTTGATTTTTGGGTGCAAATTAGATGAAAAAATGCAGGTTACCATAAAAGAGATGAAGGAAGATGCACAGAGAACCAATAGTGAAGGGAAGGAAACTGGGATTCAAAACAATAGAGTGGACCAGAAGGAAGAAAAAAATAACCAAACAGGAAAGAATGGAAAAATAAGAATTCAAAAAAAATGAGGAGAAGCTTAGGAACCTCCAGGACATCTTTAAACATTCCAACATCCGAATTATAGGGGTACCAGAAGGGGAAGAGGTAGAGCAACAGATTGAAAATGTATTTGACTCTCTGAGCCAGGAAGCTCAGAGAGTACCAAAGAAGTTGGACCCAAAAAGAAACACATCAAGGCACATCATAATTACATTAGCCAAGGTAAAAATGAAGGAGAGAATCCTAGAAGCAGCAAGAGATAAGGGGACAGTAACCTACAAAGGAGGTCCCATCAGACTGTCAGCTGATTTCTCAAAAAGAGACCTTACAGGCAAGAAGGGGCTGGAAAGAAGTATTTCAAGTCATGAAAGACAAGGACCTACATCCCAGATTACTCTATCCAGCAAAGCTTTCATTTAGAATGGAAGGTCAGATAAAGTGCTTCTCAGATAAGGTCAAGTTAAAGGAGTTCATCATCACCAAGCCCTTATTTTATGAAATGTTAAAGGGGCTTATCTAAGAAAAGAAGATTAAAAAAAAAAACATGTATAGTAAAAGGACAGCAAACTCACAATTATTAACAACCACACCTAAAGCAACACCAAAAGAAACTAAGCAAACAACTAGAACAGGAACAGAACCACAGAAATGGAGATTACATGGAGGGTTAGCAACAGAGGAGTGGGAGGAGAAGAGGGGGGGAAAAGGTACAGAGAATAAGTAGCATAGATGGTAGGGAGAAAATAGACAGGGGGAGGGTAAGAATAGTATGAGAAATGTAGAAGCTGAAGAACTTATAAATATGACACATGGACATGAACTAAAAGGGGGGAAGTGGGTGGGAGAGGGTGTACAGGGTGGAGGGGAGTGAAAGGGGGAAATGGGACAACTCTAATAGCATAATCAATAAAATATATTAAAAAAATAAAAAATAAAATGTATAGTAGAGACAAAAAAAAAGCACAGAGGATGTTGAATGTGGTAAAAGTACTCAGCATCATACTATAATGGTGGATATACAGAATTATATATTTGTCCAAACTCATAGAATGTACAATATCAAGGGTGAACCCTAATGTAAACTGTGGAATTCTGCTGATAATGACGTACAAGTGTAGGTTCATTGATTGTATAACATGTAGAATTCTGGTGTGGGATTTTGATAGTGAGTTGGTTGTATGTACATGGGGAGAGAGAACACATGGGGAATCTTTGTACTTCCCACTCAATTTTGCTGTGAACCTAAACATTCTCTAAAAAAAATTATTTAAGAATTGCAAAAAAAAAAAAAAGAAGAAAAAAATTTCAAGTATACTCATCAAATACATACAATTCTACATAGTACCTAGTAGTGGGTCAAAAATTTGGCTTCTGACAGTGTAAAGAGAAAATTAATATCAATAACTCAGTATTAAGTAAGATCAGGAAGTTTTCCTCATAATGAGGCCTGAGAAAAATTTCCCTTTGTCTCCCTGAAAGGAGGAGTCATGTTTTGTAGTGGAACACAATATAATAAATATATCAATGGTGTTCCTGTAATGATTCCTTATGAAAGAACAATTCAACTAATATAATTTTAATAAGTACCAAAACAGTACATTCTGAGTATACAGCTTTTTGGTGATCTGTTTCCTAAATAAAATTTAGACCATCTAAAAAAAAAAAAGAAAAAAAAAAAAAAGGAGGAAAGTGATTTGCCCAAATTACTGAGTTAAAAAGTGGTGGGGATAAAATCAGAAGCCAAATCACTAGACTTTCTTTTTTTAAAGATATTTATATAAATATATATTTATTTTTAGAGAGGGGAAGGCAGGGAGAAAGAGAGGGAGAAAAACACAAATGTGTGGTTGCCTCTCACATGCTCCTAACTCAGGACCAGGCGTGTGCCCTGACTGGGAATTGAACCTGCAACTCCATGGTTTGCAGGCCAGCACTCAAGCCACTGAGCCACACCAGCCAGGGCAAATCACTGGACTTCTTTAGTCCAATGCTTTTTTCCCAAAATGTCTAAAAATCATTGATTAGAAATATCTAACAAGACAGTGATGTTGGGTGGGGAACAAAAAGCTTAGTATTTACACATTAATTTAGAATGCAAACATTTTTCCATACCTCCTCCCTAGATCTGTCAAAGATCACAGGAGCAGACATACTCTTTGATTCAATTCTGGGAGCAATGAGTGTAGTAGGGGTCACAGGAGTAACTGCAGGAGAAGGTTCAGAGGAGAGGATAGGTTCCCTTTCTGGACTGTCCAGTGACACTTCTTCTGTGGCTTCTAGAAACAAATTAAACAAGTTAGTTAAGGATACTGGTAGCAAACCCCCAACAGTCTATAGAGAAATTAATTATTAAAAATTTTATACTAACCACAAATACATACCAAAATAATGTTATTTAAATTGTGATAAATAATTTTATGAATCCTTCCTCAGTTATTTATCAAAACTTTAAAACCAACAATGATTGTGTTGATTTTAGGAAGAATTCCAGTAAGTCACCTTAATTATCTATAATGATTAGCTAGTGGTAGGGATGAAGCTAGTAGGAAAACAATGATGTGGAAAATTCCACATTTTGATGTGCAAAATTCCACATTGTGTTTGGATTTGTAACATAGCTTATATTTGTGGTAACTTACCTTTCAAAGTCTTTATTCAGACAAACACTGATTATTTTATACATACAAACACAAATTCTGGGCTGAAGACTGCCCAGCAATATCCCAACTGGGATTAAAAATTTGTTAAGAGAAAATTTACAAAGTTAGTAATCTAAAGCAATTCACTGCTAAAGATTACTGGATATTGGTTGAATACACAAATATGACACAAAGCAAATAGGTATTTAGGTTTTATAATTCAAAATGTTCATTCACTTGAAAAATCTAAAATTAAAGATATTTAAAACCAAATCAATAAATTACCTACAAGCTATGTAACATTGTGCTAAATGCAATTATGAACACAAAGAAATGTAAAATATCATACCTGCCCTCAGGGAGTTTATAATCTAGTGGGAAAATAAGACATAAGCATGTGGAATGTTAAATAATAATAAAAAGACAAGTAATAGCCAAGTGAACAATAAAAAGAATGTTGTAAGACATTTAATTGCTGTATGAACTACAGAACAAACACTGTAATTTGAGCTATGATGGCAGACAATACTTTAGTAGGAGAAAGAAAATCAAGAAGTTTTCAAAACCTACTGGAGAAGATTTGGATGGGTAGACTTCCATGAAAATGAATAACATAAGCAAAAAGCAAAGCCATAAAAATGAAAATTACAATCAGCGGCCATAATGAAACCCAGAGCGCTGTTGGTTTATAGCACTGATACCAGGAAAGGGAAGACAGCACTGTGAGGGAAATAGGATCAGACTACTGGTTTCTATTCTAGCCTGAGGTTCTTAGATTCTTAGAGGTCTGAGGAGGTAAAACGGCAGTCAGTGAGCCACTTCCACTTGAACACCTCAAAATGCATAGCAGTAATAACATATTTACCTGAAATAAGATAAATATGTTAACATATACATGTAAACAACTTAATTTTATCAATCTACTCTTACTGGTTATCTCATTTTGATGAGATCCTTATTTGGCACTGATCTATTTTTTTGACATTAAAAATAAAAATAATAATCAAAATCTTTCAAACTATGGTAACCAGTGGAAGGACAAAAAAACCAAAAACTAAACAAAACTATAGATGTTGAATAGACTACAGATGACCCCCAATATAACAAACTTAAATCTTACATGCAACTCAGGCTATTAAGAATGCTAGTATTTATTCTTTTTTTTTTAATTAAAGAAATGAAACCAATGAGCAGCAAATATAAAGTAAGAAAGCAGTATATCAAAGCCTAGGAGATATGAGATTTTTAATCTATAAACAAGTAAAGCAACAAGCAGCCAACAAAACAAAAAGAAACCCAAAATTCTCTGAAAGAGGTGCTGTTGTTGGCAACAGACACACACACAAAAAACTATGAAAGACACTGTAGCTTTACTGAGATATCAGGACAGTTTACTCAAAGTCATTATGACTTTTCAATCACAGTTTACTTCACTGAAAAACCAGGTTTTGTACTCTTTGTACAGACTGTGACAGGCTATTTCATATACAGCAGTAGGCCTCAAAATAAGAAAACCTAAATAAATAACATGGGGAGGGAAATGGATATAAATAGATACAAACTTAGGTTTAGCATGCTAATACATAGTCTGTCTTAAATTCTTTTATGATTTCTTTTATTAAAAATAAAGTAGCAAAACACAAGTTAATGAAGTTTAATTTAACTTAAACTGGACCTTAAGGTTCAACAAGTTGCCCCATAGGTACTAAGTATAAAGATGAACTTTTCCTTGTAAGAGATACTTAGAGGACAAGCACAAATGTCAGTTAAGTAACATTTCACTCATATGATATACACAAGAGAATTTTTAAACAGAGAAACACTCATTAAACTTACAATTGGTATTATCTGATGAAAAATATAAGTGAAAAAAACTAAGTATCCTGGAAGAAACAAGTTATAAAAGTCTGGGTAAATTTCAATATTGGCAATGTGCTTACGACCCTTACTTACTCCTCTAGGATAGCTCCCCTAAAGTGTGTTCAGTGAAGTTTAAGTGCAGGATGTAACAAATGGTGGAGCGGGACTCTGTAGTCAACCATATTTAGTGGACACTTTTAGCTAATAATGGTAACATGTTACACTTGAACTTTTTCTAGTACCACTTCTGACATACTAGTACTTGAAATGCTACACAAAACATATCAGCATACATGCTGATACAATAAAATCCCTTTATGGTTTTAAAATTAAAATCTCTAAACCACTAGAATATCTATATTCTCTCCTCTGATAAAGGAGAAATAAAGTAAATGTTCTTATTACTGGACAATAGTTTTCACCATCCCAGTAACACTGCTACTCTCTGTTATAGTTTCCTAGAGCCACACCCCTCCATAGGAGGAGAAGTGATAACACTGACTTAGAGGCTTTGTACACAAGATGCAAGTGTAGTATTCACTCACAGATATAAAATGATCAGATTAGGTCTTAGAGACAACTCATGATGTCATTAAGAAATGCGGCTGAGTTTGAGAAAAAAGATAAAGCATAAAAAGTGTTTTTAAATAACTAAGGAAACATGATTATGTTTAATGTTTAGTCCATTCCTCTCTTTTAAAACAAACATGGATGTTGACTCTATTTGAATCACAATGTTTAGTATAGACTGGTACCACACTAAAACATGAAAAAGATTCTTTGTAACAAGCTAAATGAGCAAATCGATATAATTGTTTAGTCCTCACTTGGAAAGCTGCACACTCTAAAAATATTCAAAATCCCCTTTCCTTGTTCTCAGGTGCACACACCCACACAATTCTGTTGCTAAGAGCTTCAACATAATTTATTTATATGACTTTAAGGTGAAAACTCTTTAATAAAATAGACAATCCAAAACTTCTATGTATGACCCTATGGTATAAGAGGAATACACACAATTTTAGATTAATACAATCTAGTTAGCCGAGAAATGAGTCAACTTTTAGAACAAAACATAAATGCTATGAAAAAACTTTTAAGGTCTACCTGGAAAAAGTCCATGAAAGAAAACAAACACACAAAAATATGACTTTGGTTAACTATGATTTTATTCTAAGTTGAGAGGTAGCTATAAAAAGGGGAGGTGTATATAGTTGACATTTGGTTACAGTGAAAACTTTTCACTAATCAAGTAAATTATATAGAACTTTGTGATAAAGGACTATGTATTCAAATGTAATTTGTACAAAAAATTCAGAATGGTTTGAATATTCAAACACTATAAAAGCTGAGGACATAATATTAAATTTTAACTCAATGAAAGCCAGTTCAGGTAAATTAAACTGTTAAATGCACAGAATCACTATTTTAAATTTTTGGGTCATTAATTCTAAGAAATATTTGGCTTTGTAATATCCAAACATTAAATGGTACCTTAATTTTAATTTTTAAGCATAACATTGTTTTGAAAAGTCCAATTTTTAAAAGGTTGTATAGACTACACCAAACTCTGACTCCATATCAAAATTAAATTCCTCAAGCATCAATTTAACCAACTAAAAGTGAATCAAAATATAACAGGTGGTAAATACTGAACCATTAAAACAGACAGATTTCAAATATATATAGACTATATATTAAGTGATTTTTTAATCCAGTTTCATTTTGCTTTGTGACCATGTATATTAATAAAGAGTATAATCCCTATTTCTCAAAGTATGAATGACACAACCATCAGTTTTTTGAGTCTAAGCACTGATCAAAACAGCCAAATTATAATATATGATTTATTTTTACATGTTTAAAACCAGAAAGGATCGCATTTTGCTTTGCTCTACAGTCCATAATTTTTCTCAAAGTTATATAACTGGAAATTTCTTATCCTCCTAGGTGGTAACAAGAAGAACTGCCACTAACATACACAAAATTTCAGTTTTACTTCATAGAATACTTCCTTACAGGATATATACTATAATTTGCTAGTATTAAAAAATATATAGTTACAATTACCTGCAAAAAGATCTTCTCTGTCATCATCTAGGACAACTTCTGCAGGTTTTGGACCATTGGAGTTTGTACTAACATCTTCTGCAAGAAGACTAATTGGTTCTGGAGATGATGGAATTGACTGTGGAAAAAAAATAGTAACAGATAATGGGCTGGCATGTTTTACCTGTTATAATTATGTCTCTACACATCATAGAAATAGAGCATTCCCTTGATATGAAGGGGAGAAAGAACAAGAACAGCTATTTATAGTTCCTCCTGAGGGTAAGAGTGAACCAAAAACACATTTTTACTCATCTTTCCTGTTTTAACAAAAAATCAGTTAAGATGAAAAAAAAGGAAATCTTTCTAATCACCCCTTTTGAGATGTTAATTTGTCATTTTGTGTTATAATTAACAAAAAATAAAATGTATTGCTCTGTGCATATATAGTAAGATTGAGTATATGAGACAACTGAATCTTGAAAACATGTTAGATTTGTAAGAAGTTCAAAGTACTACTTTATTATAAAAGGAATGTTTACTACTACTTGATTTAAGAATACTATTATTCTAAAATAATTATAGTTTCAAACTAAAAATATGTGATCGCCCCAAACACATTTTAACTTAGAAAAGGGATTATTATTGTATTTCTTAACCTTAAAGTATAATGAGCAACATAATGTAGAGGAGACCGTTCTGCATGGCGTGAGCCCAGTTTCCACTCAGAAGGCCAGTGGAAAGCGAGATCTGATGCCCAGGACCCACGTCCATGGATAGGTTTCCCGTGGGCAATCAGGCCTACACTGTACCTAGACTGCTTTGAGACTTGCTTTTGTTAAAACTCCCTCACCCTGAATTGAGGCAGCAAACCTTTACTGCATATCTTTAAAGTAACTTCCTAAAATCTATGCTAAACATTCCAAGGATGAGTGTAATAACCAGTTCAACCACTTTTCCCTTTGCATTTGCAAACATCCTTCTTCTGTGATGTGATTAGCATGGGCATCTCTCCTTTCTTTTCTGTAAAAGGTAACCACCTAAAGCCAACCTATGCAAAGTAAATGAGGACTGTCCTCAATGTAATGTGCCCAGAAAAGCAAAAAAAGCTTGTCAAGGCAAAGGTCAGAGTGCTCTCCCCTTGAGAGACTGGCCAAGGTACACCAAGGCACTCTCCCCCTGAGAGAGTGGCCATGCCGTCCCTTTTCATCCACAGGACTTGGTAGTCCATGTGAATTTATCTCATGTCTCATCCACAATGCAGCGGACACTGCTTGCCGGTGACCACATCAATAATAGAATCTAGATTGTACAGCTTTTAGCTTTATTATAGTTTTCTTATAATATTTAAAACCAATACTTTTTAAAAACAACATACCATAAAAAGGAAACTGAACTTGTCAAAAGTGCACAACTAGATATTTTCACAAATCCAATATCCCTGTGTAACCAACACCTAGATCAAGAAAGAGAGCATTATCATCACACCCAGAAGTTCTACATGTGTTCCCTTCCATTCTTTTATCCTTTCCCCACATGGGATTCTGCCAGCATGGACTGGTTTGTCCTGTTTTTCTCTTTATAAAACAGAAATTATACAGAATATGTTCTTTTGTATTTGGGTTTTGTTCTTAATGTTTTGTATAGGAGATTCTTCTATACTCCTGGATGTAGTAACAAATTACTCATTCTCGTTGCTATCAAATATTTCATTGTGTGAATATACAATTAATCCAGTCCACTGTTAATGGGCCTTTGGGTGGTTATCAGTTTTTAGCACTACCAATAACACCCTTTCTAACTTAGCAAACAAGTGAACAAATCTGTTAGGTATGTACCTAGGAGCTGGATCACTAAACAATCTTCTAACATGGTTATATAAATTATACTCCCATGAGCACTAGATGAAAATTTCAGTTGTTCCTGTCAACACTCTAATACAGTATATTCTATCTTTTTCATTTTTGCTATTATGGCAAGTATAGAGTATATCTTATTGTGGTTTGAATTTTCATTTCCCTGATGAATAATGATGCTCAGCAATTTTTCATATATTTAATGGCCATTTGAATATCCTCTTCCTGAATAGTCTCTTCAAGTATTTTACCCATTTTTCAATTGTTCCTATTGATTTGTAGACATTTTTTATATGTTCTGGGATAAAAACTCTATGTCATGTCAGAAACATATTGTAAATATTTTTCCAGTATGTGTGGCTTTCTTAATGCTAGATTTTAATGAATAGAAGTTCTTAATTTTAGTAAGGGCAAATTATCTGTTTTTTTCTTCCTTGTAATTAGTAAACTTTTTATATACTAAATAATCTTTTGAGCCCACTCCTAATTCATATGATTTTTCTCATCAGCTTCTTAAGTAAACTTCTCCTCTATGACATGAGAACATTTCTTTGTAGTTTTAAAAACATCAGTTCTTTATGGGAAACTTTAAAGGACAGGCTTTCTTTTCTTTGAGCTCATTCACCCAAACTCTCACAAAGGTGGGCCTACATTTACCTAAACACTTTCAACTGAAGGAATTTAAAAACAAATAAGCTTACACATTACTTCTGAAAGATGTTCTGACAACCTCAACCTCACCTCTAGCTGAGTCTGGGGAGGTGATTGGCCTAGCCTATATACTCCCAGAGACTGTCTACTTCTTCCACCATCCTTTCTCTTACCACATTATAGTATAATTATCATCTGTTCATAGACTACAAACTCTGTAAGAAAAGGAAAATATATGTATCTTTTGTTATTTAATAATTTTTATTCAGTTGCTGCCAGCAAACACTCAATAACTCTTGTTAAATAAATTCTAAGAAAATAAGTATGAATATACCTAAGAACTGGTCACAAGTTTGTCAATCAGATTGCCTATAATACTGAAAATTTTGAAATAGTCTATAGTACATCTACATAAAAATGTAGCAGAATGGCTCCAACACTCATTCATGGTAGAAATTCTCAGTTAACTAAAACGACAGGAGAACTTCCTCAATTTTCTGAGAAAGAATAGCTACAAAAAGCTAACATTATACTTAATGATGAGAAAGTTGAAGCTTTCCCACTAAGATCATGAACAAGGGAAAGATATCCCCTTTACTACTGTTTTTCAACACTGTACTAGAAGTCCTACCTAAAGTAGTAGGATAAGAAAGGAACTAAATGTATACAGATTGAGAAGGAAGAATAAAACTCTTTGTTCACAAATGACATAATCGTCCAAGTAGAAAATCCAAAAGAACTGACAAAAAACCCCTCCAGAATTAACAAGCAAAGCTGCATAATACAAGGTTAATATACAAAAAAGTTGATCACTTTCCTGTATACCATCAATAAGCAAACAGAACTTGAAATTAAGAAAACAATACCATTTACATTAGCATCCCTAAAATGAAATACTTAGGTTTAAATTTAATATAAGGGAAACTACAAAACTCTGATGAATAAAATCAAAGAAAAGCTAAATAAATGGAGAAATATGCCACGTTCATGAATAGGAAGGCTCAATATGGTCAAGATGTCAGTTCTTCCTAACTTGATCTCCAGAGCCAATGCAATACCAATCAAAATCCTGGCAAGTTATTTTGCGGATATTGACAAAATTATACTAAAGTTTATATGGAGAGGCAAAAGATCCAGAATAGCCAACACAATATTGAAGGAGAACAAAGGTGGAAGACTGAAGCTACTGACTTCAAGACTTATCTATAAAGCTACTGTAATCAGACTGGATTCTTTCACATAGTAATGTGCATTTAAGTTTCCTCTATGCCTTTTCAGACTAGGTTCTTTCACTAATACCTGTATTAGTGAAAGAATAAATAGATAAATGGAACAGAATAGAGACACCCCAAATTGACCCACATTAATATAGCTAACTTACCTTTGACAAAGGAGCAAAGGCAATACAATGGAAGAAAAAAAGTGTCTCTTTAACAAATAGTGCTGGAACAACTGTACATCCACATGTAAAAACATGAACTTGGACAAAGATTTTATACTCTTTATGTATATCAACTCAAAATGGATCAGATTACATGTAAATAACAAAAGTACAAAATTCTTAGAACACAGGAGAAAATCTAGATCACCTTCAGTTTAGCAACGAGTTTTTACATACAACAACAAAGGTACAATCCATAAAATGAAGAAATGGTAAAACAGAAATAAAGAAATAGTAAAAATTATGCCCTGGCTGGTGTAGCCAGGAGTATGGAATATGGAGTAACAGGAACTTTCACTTGCTGGTGGGAACGCAAAATAATATAGCCACTTTGGAAGACAGTTTGACAGTTTCATATAAAACTAAACATACTCTTATCACATAGTCCAGAAGTCATGCTTTCTAATCATTCAGGGGAATTGAAAACTTATGTCTATACAAAAACCCTGTACATGATGCTCACAGCAGCTTTATTCATAACTGCCAAAACTTGGAAGCAACCAAGAGGTCCTTCAGTAAGTAGGTGAATGGGTAAAGTGTGGTACAGTCAGGCAGTGAAACATTATTCAGCACTGAAAGGAAATGAGTTATCTAGCTGTGAAAGGGCGAAGAGGAAATTTAAATGCCTATCACTAAGTGAATAAAGTCAGCATGAAAACACCGCACATTGTGTAATTCCAACTATAAGACATTCTGGAAAAAACAAAACTATGGAGACAGTAAAAAGATCAGTGGGTTGGGGAGGATAGAAATGAATAGGTACAGCACATGGGATTTTTAGGACAGTGAAACTAGTCTGTATGATACTATAATGGTGGGTAACTGTCAATACATATGTACAAACCCACAGAATGTGCAACAAGAATGAACCCTAAGGTAAACAATGGACTTTGGGTAATTATGATATGTTACTGTAGTTTCATCAAATTGCAACAAATGTGCCCCTCCAGTGCAGGATGTTGATAATCAGGAATAATGCATGCGTAGAGGTAGTATATGGAAAAGTTCTGTACCTTCCACTCAATTTTGTTGTGAACTTGAAACTGCTATAAAAAATAAAGTCTACTATTTAAAATACATAGGAGAGTGGAATATACTGACACAGAATTGTTTATAATATGACATGATATACAAAAAGTAGGAACCTATATGTAAGATCCAGTTTCCTGACAACATTCATTAAAAATAAAT